CGACGGCCACACGCTCCAATTGGGGCTCGAGCAGTTCCGTGCTCCGGAAATTCTATTTAATCCACAGCTTATTGGCGACGAGCTGCCTGGCATCGATGAATTGTTGGCGGTTTCGATCGCCAAAACAGACCTAGACCTTCGTCCCACGCTATACCAAAACATCATTCTTTCCGGCGGCACCACGCTTCTACGCAACTTCGGTGACCGTCTTCTTCAAGAGCTCAAGGCCAGCCAGTCGAGCCAGAGCAACGCCAGCATATGGGCCAACAACAGAAATGTGGCCAAAGACACGAAAATGAAAATCAAGATCTACGCTCCACCAGAGCGCAAGTACACCACATGGATCGGAGGCTCCATCCTCGCCAGTCTATCTACGTTCCGCAAAATGTGGGTCACTCAAGAGGAGTACGCCGAGGACCCCGACTGCGTTCACAGAAAATGCATGTAATCAGATGCAATAGTACCTATCGCCAAAGTCGCCCAAGCCAGGCACTATGTACTTGTCGTCGTCCAACTTCTCGTCAATACCACCGGTGATGATTCTCACATCAGGGTACTTATCGTGGAAGGCCTTGATACCTTCTGGCGCAGCCAACAAGTTCAAAAAGAGGATGCGGTCCATCTTCACGCCTCTAGACAACAAAACCTCCACTGCCATCATGGCGCTGCCACCAGTGGCCAACATGGGGTCCAAGAGGAACACGTATCTCTCGCTGATATCCTCAGGAAGCTTTTCATAGAACAACTTGGGCAAGGCGGTCTCCTCGTCTCTCTGGATCAAGATCTTGCCGATTCTCACAGAACGACAACAGTCTCTCAAGCCCATCTCCATGGACTCACCAGCACGGACGATGGAAACACCACAAATCTTACCCAAAAACTTGGAACCATTGTATTTGTGGCCGCCGTGGCACTCAATGACGGCTTCTTCCACAGGCAACTGGTTGAGACCTTCCTCCACCAAGAGACGAATGATTCTGTCGGAATAGAACACGAAATCACCACGTTTGGTCAGCTGGTCTCTGATGATGGAGTACAAACCTCGAAGCTGGTTGGTTTGGGGCAAAAGAATGACGTTTTTGCTGACCTCGTTGGAAACAGACATGATGGTGGAGACTGCGATGAGTTGGGCGCGATGTCCTGAAGCCAAGCAAGATAAGGTGAGGTGATGGATTTAACCGACGGGTGGTACCATTGCACGGCTTCAAATTTGACAAAATGTTGGATTTGAGAATTGAAACCGGTTTGTGATGTTTTGGATTTTTGAACGCGTTCTTGTCGTTCCAATTTTTTGATCACGCCGTGGTGGTCCCGCGTCACTATCTAATGGTTGCAAATGAGGAGCGCAACAGCCCAGCCAAAGGCGATTGAGCCAGTCAATATTGTTATGATGGCAGATTTAGGGCTGAAGCAAAGCTCAATCGACGTCTAGCTGGAATGTACTTCCAAGTATGGCTTCCTCAATCGGATCAATGCCGGTACCTGCCGTGATCAATACCGTACCATTAACGCCTATGGAAAGTCAGACTCCTAGAATTAATTAAGAGGAGGTAAGCTATAAGCCTACCAGTCTATGCGCCCTTGCCACGCTCATGTCCATTGAATTCATCACCGCTTTATCATACCCACCACTCACTGATACGAGTGTTCTGATCAGAATTATGAACAGCATCATCAGCCAGGTACTCAAAAAAACCCCGATCCTGTTCCAATGTCCCCGACCTCCAAAGCTCTCTCCTGGCAAAATGCCCTCGCAACACCCTACCTGACATAGCATCAAAGTCATCAAATCATTCCACAACCACAATCTCCCAACCCTCATTCTACCTCCTCCCTACCCTCCGCTCTACATCACACCATCGCTATTTTTTGGTTATTTTTATACATCACGGCGGCGCCGCTCTAGCAACTACTGCTGGTCCACCACAAATGGGTTCTCGATGCTCTCCGTACCGTCCAACGGCGAAAGAGTCAACAACAGCGGACCTCTGACCACCACGACCTTGAAATCCCTCGTCTTCTCTGTCAAAACAGCATCGTCCTCAGGGTCTCTGAGCTGCTCAGTGACATCCTCCAACACCAAGTTCATCAACTGATCGAAACCCTTCAAAACTCCAACAACCTGTCTACCACCAATGAACTTGACCACCACCTTCTGGTCCTTGAACTTGTTCAAGTCGAGAATGGCCTCCTTCTTGGGTCTCTCCTGTCTGCTCATGTACGACTTGCTTCTGTCATTTCTGTCGTTTCTGTCCCTATCGCTTCTGTGCTCGTTTCTGTTGTCGTGCCTGTCTCTGTTGTTGTTTCTGTCGCCCCGATTGTCTCGGCGCTGCCTCTGGCTCATGTTGGGGAATAGAGGTGTTGATGCTGATAAAGTGTTGATGAAAATGTAGTTTTCGCACCACACACTCCACCTACCACTCAAGATGGACTTATTCGTGTACATCACGTCGGATCTCACGTCGTCCGAAAGAAGAATCTCGCCACAGTGGCTGGTGCAGTACTTATTGCAAAGATTGGAGCAAATTACCGGCGTGGAAACTGCCTTCCAGACTCTACACTACTATCCTGTCAAGACCTCCAGTGAGTACCAGGTTGTCCATAAAGCCGGAGAAAAGACCGACAAGAACGTGTCTGATTTGGGAGTTGCCGCTTACTCCAGAATACACGTGATTGATGAAAACCCAGACCTGACGCTAGCGGCGTTGGAGGAGAATTCAGAAGGATTCCAGCTTTCAGAGGAGGAGTACGCCAAACGCAACAACACGGTGCTTCTGTGGAAGAAACAGAATCAGCTCGGCCGTTTTGATCCCAAATTTGACGAACAGCAGAGATTGATCCAGGAGGAGAACGAGAGACTTGCAGAGGGGATCACTGTGGGAAGCAGGTGCCGTGTTATCAACATAGCCAGTGAGAGAAGGGGCGTTGTCAGGTACATTGGCAAGATTCAGGAGCTCGACGAAGGTGAAAGCTTTTGGGTGGGAATTGAGTTTGACGAGCCGGTGGGTAAAAATGACGGCCTGATTGGACTGCTTCGTGTATTTGAAGCAAAGCCAAACCATGGAAGTTTTGTGAGGCCCAAGCAGGTTGAGGTTGGCGACTTCCCTGAGCTTGATCCCTTTGCCAGCGATGAAGAGGAGATTTAGGCGAAAGGGCGATGTTGAAGTGGTAAGGGCCATTACGCCATGATGAATGGGCGGGGTTAGAGGTTCTAAAGCATCTACAGGGCTTACTCAGGCGCTCAAGAACGAAGGAGGATGCTCTAGCGAAGGAGGCTGCTCTAGGAGTGACCGACGAGCCTTGGTTTTGTTAAGGGGCGAAAGAGAATTACTTGATGTTGTCGAAGGTGAAGCCATCATAAAGTCTCAGACATGACAGATCCCGCCGATGGTTCGAGCCCGTTACAGCTCTTTTAGCTTAGAACAGCTGGAATGCCGATTTCCATGGGAATTGAGGACTTGCGTGTGAGGTAATTAATGGCTGCAAACTGAGGTCTTCTTGGGCACCATTCTCGTCATGCGCCATCCATCGAAGCCCAAACCACACAAACAATGTCTTGCTTGATAGCCAGCAAAAATAGCTCAATCTTCAATTATTGCAAGGAAATGCAACGGATCCGTGACTTCATCGATTGAAGCCCTATCGTTCCTCGCTGACCAGCCAAGGCCTATACCTTGAAGCAAAAGGAAATTTGCAATCCCAACAAATACCCCAGCATCCACCCTCTTAATATCTGCTCCAAAAAATTTTGGACCCTCTACGACAAAAATTACCCAGACCTCATCCCATATCCTAGATGGCAAGAGGTGGACGCAGCGGAGTGCGAACAAAACTACCGGCAACTTTTCCGACCGATTCTTCCACAGCATACTACACACCACCATGGACGAACCACAGCCCATTTTCAACTTCATCTACAAATACGTCGACGAGGAGCAATTCAAGAAGTACTTCCGTCTCATCATAATCGTCTGTGTGTACCTCTTCTTCAGAACATGGTACACGAACTGGGCCAAAACGAAGGAAATCGCCCGCCGTATCGAAGAGGACAACCGTTTGGCTGAGGCTCGTAAGGAAGAGAAGGAAAACGAGGCCACGGAAAAGTTTGAGCTGTTGGACAATGAGGCAGCCACCTTTGGTTGGGGAAAAGCCACCAGAAGAAACGTCAAGCGCCAGGAGCATGTGCTCAACGAGGCAGCCGAGCAGCTTCGGGCGGCCGAACAGTCCACGTACGACGCTGCCGAGGACCACGATATCGAGGATTTGTTGGAGGAGTAGAGGGACCGTACCGAGGAGGATCGAGGTCCTTCGCCATGGAACTGGATAGCATTTAGAGACAATAGTTAAGACGACTGCATTGTTGGTAGACGGGGTGGGCAAGGAGTAGAGGGGGATTGTAGAAGATTGGGTGGATGAGGTGGATGGAAGTAGAAGATGGCGATATCAACTCTGGATCGTGATGATGTGCTAGCTTCGAATCTGAATTGAGATGACGGGCTATAGAGAGTTTGATTGGGGTGAAGCGGTTCATCTTAATTAAGCCGAAGAAACAGAAGAATGGGTCCCTGTCTCGAGAGAAGGAAGTGGAGGTTTTTGCACCCAACTTCAGCTGTGACAGAGCCTAGAATCATGCAACCAATAAGCTTTAAGCTAATCCACATTGCCAATACAAAATTAAATAAAATGATTACCGCATTGAAATAACTACACTTTCTAAAAAACGCCTCTTTTACCTAAATTTCATTGTTGCACCTTCTGTCCTATATAGCCTGTCTCAGTGCTGCGATTCCATAGTATCAACATGTCGATGACCCACCACTCCACCAGCACATCCAACGCAACGACCTACTAAAAAAACCCCTCTATTTTCCTAAATCACCAAAAAATTCAAAAAATACAATGTGCTTTTCCCCCTTTGACGACCATCTTCGGGGAGTGCACGTGACCACCATCACTGCGATGAGATGCTTCACCAAAAAAACCACTCCTACTACACCATCATGGCCGGAGACCCCTTTCTATCAGATCCATCGAAAAAGAGAAAAAGGCAGGCGAAGCCGAGCTCCACGGTGAAAAAGCAGCGGCCCGCCGCCCGCAAGCCCGACCACGATCTGGAGATCTCAAGTGACTCCGATGTGGATCCAGCAGACATGTCCAGTGAAGAAGAAACAGCACCAGCCGAGGAACGTGAGCTCGATTCGGACGAGGAATTCGCCACGGAGACGGCAGCGGAAAAGAGAAGACGTTTGGCCAAACAGTACTTGGAAAACCTCAAAGAACAAGAGTTGGAAGGAGACGAATACGATGCCCAGGACTTGGACGATGATATCTTGGCCAGAAGGCTCCAGGAAGACGCTGCCGAGGGCAAAGGTCACGCGTTCAAGCACATTGCCGAAAAGATCGAAAAGCAGCTAACAGACGCTGCCAGAAGCACCGCCAGAGTGGGGTCCAAGAACCTCACGGCCGTGACTGTCAGACACCCTTTTGCATACACCGTCTCCAAGGACATGGAGCTCATCAAGTGGAACGTGGGCGGCAAGAAGCCGCAGAGAGTGAAGCACACCAAGGGAGGCTTGAAGTTCTCGTCGAAAAAGATCCACCACTGTGACCAGATCAACTGTGTTGCAGCCTCGCCAGACGGCAAGTACGTTGTCACCGGTGGCAGCGATGCTAGGCTTATAGTGTGGTCGCTGGAGAACCTCACGTGCTTGCGTGTCATTGATACCCGGGCGGCGGTGAATGCCATTACTTTCAGAAGAAATAGCGATCAGCTTTTCGCTGCTTGTGCTGATCTTCGAATCAGGACTTTTTCGATCGCCCAGCAGGCCCAGCTTGAGATCTTGTACGGTCACCAGGACAACATTACCGACATCAGCGCATTGGCTCGTGAAACATGTGTATCTGTTGGCTCCAGAGACAAAACAGCCATGTTCTGGAAGATCGCCGAGGAGCTGCGCTTGACCTTCCGTGGTGGTGACTCTTTGGACAAGAAGAGAAAGAAGGACGACGAGGGTTCCAACGAGCCATACCACATGGAAGGCTCCCTCGAAGTGTGTTCCATGGTGGACGAATCGCATTTCATCACCGGTGCCGATAACGGCAACATTGCTCTTTGGTCGCTTGGAAAGAAGAAAGCTTTATTCACACAGCGTCTTGGACACGGCCTTTTACCGCAATTCAAGCCCTCGCAGGCCAGTGCCGAGGCTGCTCAGGATGTAGCACAGCTTCAGGTGCCTGAAAGACAGCCATACTGGATTACAGCGATTCATTCCGTTCCATACAGTGACTTCTTTGTTACCGGTTCCTACGACGGCGAACTAAGGCTCTGGAGAATCGACAAGGAGAGGTTCAAGCGGTTCACACTCATGGGAGTGATTGGAAACGTGAAGGGAGTGGTTGTGGGCATTGACAGTGCCGAGCTTCAGCAGGACAAGTTGGTGACGTTGTACGTTGCCACCAGTAAAGAACACAAGTTCGGTCGTTGGTTGGGCAAGGTGGAAGGCGCCAGAAACAACTTGACGATGGTTACCTTTAATGTATAGCATAATCGCATGATGATAGATGAGCGCACGATTTAGTGAAACTTAATTGGACTGAGAGATTTTGATTAGAAAAGCCCTTCGACTATGTATTATGGACTTCACTGTTCATGATTTAACATATATCGATCCATGAACTTCCCCAGAACCTCCATGAACTTCCCCAAAACAACCGATAACAGAATTTAACCCTACATGATCCCTACAAAAGCCACTCCAGTAAATTTTTTCTATAATGCTAATGCTGTTAAAAGGCGGCCTCGTCGTCGCCATCATCCCCTAGATCATCGTCTCCACCGTCGAAGTACTTCTCGGCGTTGTAGTCGTCGTCATCATCCTCCTCGTACTCATCATCGTGATCTTCCTCTTCCACCTCATCCTGCTCGTTCTGTGGAGCCGGATCGGCATCTAGATCCTCAGCTAGACTCTTGAGTTTTTCAAGCATCGACTCTGCGGAGTCGTCCTTTTCAGAAACATTGATTTGCTTGAGCCCGCCATCCTTCTTGTACTTCGATAGAAGCAACTTCTTCTTCAGCTTGGAGATGCCCATCACCGAATAAAGCTCCTCAGGGAAAAACTCTAGTTGGTAGGGATACTCATCGATCGATCTGGAGACCTTCTTGCGTTTCTTGAAACGGTCCGAGTAGCGCTGTATGGGCTCCAGCTCTGTGCCTTTTTGCTCTGGAGCTCCAGTATAAAATGGCCCATCATACAAAAGACGGGCAAATGCTAAAGACTGTTTTGCAACGTCTTCTTCGTATTGGGACAAGGGGCCGTGCACAGGAAGCTCCAAGACGGGTTTTTCTGTAGTCTCGCCCTGGGACAAAATGTCCGAATAGTCAAGCCCAAAGGGCAAGAGCATCCTGCCTGAGGACTGCTTTCTGAAGGACATATGGGTTGACGATGGAGTAGGCCTTCGAATGTAGCAGTTTTTTGAGACCTGCGCGTGATCGCGCACGTGGGGCACGTGATGTAGCACGTGACTGACAGTATAAGCAGATTTCAATTCTAAGTCGGTTTCGCCTACGTTATTTCTGTCTATTGGGTCTTTGAGGATGCTAGAGACCATAAAATGGATACTTTTACGGGTTGGCCTCCCTCAGTGCTTAAAGTGTACAGCTAGTTGAGAGCATAATCGAACCTCTAGAGCCTTGGACCGTCAAGGGCGACTTATTTTCCCATTATACTCTTAATTCCCAATATACTAAGAAATCATACTAAGAAATAAGCTAATACGCCCTCCCTCTGATTATCAAAATCAAAAAAATAAGGAGCCTCCCTGCCCACTACACCCAGCTGGATCTCAGATGCAGCCCTTAAGCCATCAAGTAGCACGGCTAAAGACGTGCCTCGGGCTTTCCAAAACAAACACCTTTAAAAAACTTTCCAGCGTCACATGAGCAGATCAACCAGAGGCAAGTCTCACCTAAATCTTAAACCTTATTTCTGCTCCAGGCATCACTACCGAGTTGCTATGATAAGCAGCTTCGGAACGGCATTTTCGGATTCTTGGGGTGTTACACAAAACATAGAAAGCGGTGGCGCTGAGATCTAGCCCCGCCTTTCGGTTATGGGGTTAGGGGTTGGATTTCAGCAAAGCATGTTTGATAATCCGATTTCGCAAGAAGCTTCTATCGGACGTTTCGGAAGAAGCAAGCCCCGGCTTTTTAGTCTTTTAAGATCCTTGCGGTTTCCACGGCGAATGCACCTTGAAGATCTATCTATGAAGCATGAAAAGTTGAAAGCGCAATTTCGGAAACTCCCTCGAAGCATCCACACATGGAAGTGGCAGCATGGATCACGTTTGGGGAAGTGGTGCAAAATGTCTTTGTACGTGTTGAGCTCACCTTGTGGTCGTTTGCTGCAAGAGCTGTTATGTGGATTGGAAAAAAAAAAAAAAATGCAAATCTCGAATCTTGGCTCAACGGCACGGCTGTTGCAACGATAACGAACAAAAGCCGTTTTGGGGCTCAAATTCGTACAGGGAACTTCCCAGAAATTACCCGGTAATCCTTCTTCAAAAAATTTCTCCACCTGCTGAACAAATCACCGTAGCTCTTCGTGAGAACCTCGGAACGCTAAAAGTCCCGTTAATCTCTTAACCGCCGTGCGTCAATTTGGCCAAGCGAGTACACGATAGGAGAAGGTTTGTGCCAAGCTGTGGGCGTTTCGAGATGGTCTATGGTTTGCCGACGGCACCGGAGCAACCAAAAGTGGTCTCACGATTCTCAGAATCCACTATACGAAAGCTCAATTGCATGTTCCGACCTCCCCATGGACTGGCGGGAATGGGCGGATCTGCGGGTGGAATTACGAGTACAACATGCTAATATTCAATGGCAACCAAGGCACTTTCGGCAACCAAGGTAAACTTAGGGTCCAGCGTAACCGCATGTAGCAAAGCCGGAGATAATGGAAGCTGAGAACAGAACCGTGGATTCCGTGAAATGCACGTTACGCCGCCGTCGAAGCCAATGACGTCGAGATGACCCTGAAGTAGACGAAATATGTGGCTTGAAGCCCTGCGATGAGAATTTGCGTTCTGGGGTGAACAATGGCCAGCGCCGTAGCGGCAGGTTGTGAAGAGAAGGGAAGAAAAAATATGAAAATATGGGAAAACATGGACCACAGTGTTTTGGGTTTCGGGAAATTGTGGTTTTCCGTTCGATGGTTGCGATAGTCTAATGCAAAAGTGGATGCAACCCACGAGTTGCGGACTATTTTAAAAAACCCTTCCAAGTCATTCTCCACGATCAAACTACTGACCTTCTTCCCCTCAGTCACCGCTCAGGCTTTGAAGCTGGGGTACCTAGGCTTATGGAGGCATTGTGCTAAGCCGTACTCGGAGTAGCTCACTGCAAGTCTCGTAAATCACAAAACCCACCTTTCCACAACAGCTTATTGCCAAAGTCTCTTTTGCATCAAAAGCTCCCCTTTGCCACCTCTCCTTATCAAACCGCCTTATCCTGGAAAAAAGCGACCGTGAATATGCCAGCCAGTAACAGTCCTGTCAGCTGACGCAGGAGACCGCCGTGCATCACCCCAAGTCCCATTGAACGGGGTACGCTTTTTCCAAAAATACAAAAGAATTTCAATTTCTGAAAAATTCGGAAAAATCCGCCCCGCTCAACCCCTTCCGTTTCCACTACGCCCCCCAACGTCGGTTTCTTCACCTCGTTTTCCCGAGGCCGAGGTTGTCAAAAGAGCCCAGATGCATACAAACATCGTTCCGGCATTTCGCTGCAGGGTGCATTAGACCACGGCTTGACCGCTATATTAAGGCTCCGGCATCACACGAGTTGAGAAAAACAAGAACTTTTTTTCTTCCTTAGTATATGATTCCACAGCTAAGGCGTGTGCTGCTAGCTTTGCTAGCGCCCTTTGTGGTGGTGCTCCAGTTCCTCGTGCGTGTGTTCTGGCTGGGGCTTAACGAACGCTCCATCTTCACTTTACCGCTCAACTTCTTTGTTAATTTCAGCCCCGTATTCATCTGGCTCTTGATATTCAAGAACGCTGGCTTGATTCCCAAGGAGATTCGTCCTCCCATCCACGTCTCCTTGGCCCACCATGTGGAGATCGCCATGTTTGAAGTTTGGGACAAACCTGTGTCGTCTTTAGCGGCTTTGGTGGCTATTACAACGGGAGCGTGGCTTTTGTACACCAAGGTGTTCCAGGAGAAGACGGAGAAGATCGACGACTACTCCCTAGAGAGCCATTCGTCCGCCCTGCTGACGCTGTTCTCCGACGAGGACTTTGAGATGATTGACTACGAGTCCCCCAAAACGCCTGCGGCGTTTGTCCCTCCTGACTTCCAGGACCACAGCAGATTCGGCCCCTTTCCTTTCCTCCCTAGAATGACCCAGCAGGACGCCGTCAACAACGCCACCGCCATCAACAGACGCCTTGAGCGTCACGCTGATACCAACTACCGTCCTTACAACTGCTGGGTGGCCGCACCACCGGCGCTTTTGGGCGCCTCCTGGCTCCTCCTAAATTTAGACGCCTCCTTAGCGACCCCTATCACTGAGCCCAAGGACGTGTTGGCCTGGTTCAGCTACGTCATCGGCCACTTCTGTGTGCCGCTTTTCACCGCCATCTGGCTCTACGTGTTCCATGCCCCCGGCGCCCTCAAGTGCTTTGGCTTTGCCCTCGGTGCGCAAAATATCGCTGGTGTGCTCACACACCTCGTCTTTCCTAATGCTCCTCCTTGGTTCATTCACAAGTTTGGCGACGATGCCCCTGCTGACTACGACACCTTGGGCTACGCCGCAGGCTTGACCAGAGCCAAATTCTCCATTGGTACTCACCTCGTCAACGATGGTTTCCACAAGTCTCCTATTGTGTTTGGTGCTGTGCCTTCCTTGCACTCGGCTATGGCTGTCCTTTGCTTTTTCTTTGTCTGCTATTATTCCCGCTGGGTGTTCGCCAAGGTGCTTCTCCTCGCCTTTGTGTTCTGCCAATGGTGGGCCACCATCTACTTGGACCACCACTGGCGTATCGACCTTTTCTTGGGTCTCCTCTACGCCATTGCCTCCTACACAATCTTTTCCAAATCGTTGATGCCTCGCGTCGACAATGAATTTGCACAGGCCCGCCTACATTATGACTTCAACAAGGGCTCCACCATGGGCATGCGTGTTTTCCGTAACACAAAGATCCAGAACTTCTTTGACCCAATTGCATAGCATCGCTGGGTCTCCATCTGCATGACAATACACACATCTACGTCCCCACACGGCTGAAAGTTTATTGCTTCAAACTGGTTATGTAGCGCAGTAAACCACCTGCAACAGCCTCGCCGGTTTTCTTGAATACCCCATATTCTATCCGTTCTTTTAAAATACACTCAGCCGTACTCACCTTATTTGAAGTCCGTAGTGGCGTTTAAGCGACCCATTGTCTTGCACGGCTTGGCGCTCGTAGAAATATATCATTATTCCGATTGTCCTCGCTTGGAAAAACTCTGCATGGTGGAGTTGATGGCAGGAAAATTCTTGGATGAT